GCGTCCATAAAGATTGACAGTCTCTGAAATCCTATGGGGTACTTCTACTCTATCCTATGCAACTACTATGAGTCAGACTGACTCGGTGTCACTGGGATTTTAAAGCTTCACAGAGTAAACAAAAATAGATTAAATGTCCATGTATGTTTCTTCTCATGATGAAATTAAAGTATAACACTTGCTTCTCAGAACTTGCTGTTAAATGCCTTTAAGTCGATTCCAACTCTTAGCGACATCTGGTGGGTTTGAATTGCCAACCAGTGCTGACTCTACAGTGTCACACCAGGAGTCTCATAAAATATTAAAAAAAAAAAAGATTTCTTACAGCAGATCTATCCTCTCACAAAAGAACCCTGGTGGCACAACAGCAAAACCCTTGGCTGCTCATTGAAAGGCTGGCTGTGTGAACTCAGAAGCAAGTCTGTTGTTAAGTGCCTTCAGGTTGGTTCTGACTCATAGTAGTAGTTAGGTGCCACTAAGTCAGTACCAACTCACAGCAATGCTATGCACAACAGAATGAAGTACTGCCCGGTACTGGGCCAACCCCACAATCATTGCTACGCCTGAGCCTACTGCTGCCACCACTGGGCCAATCCATCTTGTTGGGAGTTTTCCTTGTTTTCTCCGACCCTCCACTTTACCAAAAATGATATCCTTCTCCCGTGACTGGTCCATCCTGATAATATATCTGAAGTACGAGAGGCGAAGTTTGGCCATCCTGGTTTCCAAGGAGCACTCTGTTGTTGTTGTGAAGTGCCATCGAGTCGGTTCCGACCCATAGCGACCCTGTACAGGGTTTCCGAGGGTGTAAATCTTTACGGGAGTAGAAAGCCTCATCTTTCTCCCGCGGAGCGGCTGGTAGTTTCGAACTGCTGGCCTTAAGGTTCGCAGCCCGATTCGTAACCACTATGCTACCAGAGCTCCTTAGAAGGAGCACTCTAGCTGTACTTTTTCTAACACAGATTTGTTTGTTCTTTTGGCAGTCCATGACACTTTCAATATTCTCCTCCAACATCAGAATTGAACTGCATCAATTCTTCTACAGTCTTCCTTAGTTACTGTTCAAATTTCACATGCATATGAGATTCTCAAAATACCAAAGCTTGAATCAGGCGCACCTTAGTCCTCAAACTGACATCTTTGCTCTTCAATACTTTAAAAAAGGTCTTGTGTAGCAGATTTGACCAATGCAATACATCATTTAATTTCTTGATTGTTGCTTCCATTGGTGTTGATGGTTGTTCTAAGCAAAATGAAGTCTTTGACAACTTCAATGTTTTCTCCATTTATATGGGATATTGTTTATTGGTCTGGTGGTGAGGGTTTTTGTTTCCTTTACATTAAGAGGTAACCCATGCCAAAGGCTGTGGTCTCTGATCTTCATCAGTAAGTATTTTAAGTTCTCTTCACTTTCAGCAAGCAAAGTTATATCATCTGTATAATACAGGTTGTTAGAGTCTTCCTCCAATCTTGATGCCACATTTTTCTTCATGTAATCCATCTTTTTGGATTATTTGCTTAGCATACAGACTAAATAAATATGGTGAAAGAATACAACACTAGCACATACCTTTCCTAACTTAAAACCACTCGGTGTTCCCTTGTTCTGTTTGAACAACTGCCTCTTCATCTATGTACAGGTTCCTCATGAACACAATTAAGTGTTCTGTAATATTCATACTTTGCAATGTTGTCCATAGCTTATCATGATCCACACAATCAAAAGCCTTTGCATAGTCAGTAAAGCACAGACAAACATGTTTCTGGTATTCTCTACATTCAGCCAAGATCCATCTGACGTCAGCAATGACAGCCCTTATTCCGCATCCAACTTTGAATCCAGCTTGAACCTCTGGAAGTTCTCTGTCAATGTATGGTTGCAGATGGTTTTGGATTATCTTTAGTAAGACTTTACTTACATGTGATATCAATGATATTGTCCAATGATTTCCGCATTCCATTTGGGTCACCAGTGTTTGGAATGGGCACAAATACAGATCTCTTCCAGTCAGTTTGCCAGGTAGCTGTCCACCATCTTGGCATAGATGGGTGAGTGCCTCTGGTATCCCATCAGTTTGTTGAAATATTTCAATTTGTATTCCATCAATTCCCAGAGCTTTGTTTTTTGCCAAAGCTTTAATGCAACTTGGATTTCTTTGTTCAGTATCATTGGCTCTTGATCATATGCTACTTCTTGAAATGTTTGAACATCGACCATTTCTTTTTGGTACAGTGATTCTGTGTATTCCTTCCATCTTCTTTTGATGTTTCCTGCATCATTCAATAATTTGCCCATGGAATCTTTCAATACTGCAAGTCGAGGTTTAAATTTTTTCCTCAATTCTTTAAGTTTGAGGAATGCTGAGTGTTTTCTTCCTTTTTGGTTTTCTAACTCCAGGTCTTTGCAGATTTCATCATAATAATTTACGTTGTCTTCTCAAGCTGACTTTGAAATTGTCTTTTCAGCTCTAATACCTCCTCACTTCTTCCATTTGCTTTATCATCTCTATGCTGGAAAGCAAGCTTCAGAGTCTCTTCTGACATCCATTTTGGTCTTTTTCTTTTTTCTTGTCTTCTTAGTGACCTTTTCTTTCTCCCTGTATGATGTTCGTGATGTTATCCCACAACTCTGATGGTCTTCAGTCTTTAGTGTCTAAGGCATCAAATCTGTTCTTTAGAAGATTTCTATATCCAGGTGGGATATATTCAAGATCATATTTTGGTTCTCATAGACTTTTAAAATTTTTTCTTCAGCTTCAATCTGAATTTCACATGCATATGAGATTCTCATATGCCCCTTGTGCTGTTTTGGCTGATGCTAGGGAACTTTTCCACTGTCTTTTTCCATAGATGTAGTCAATTTGATATTTGTGTATTCCATCTGGTGAGGTCCATGTATATAGTTATCTTTTATGTTGTTTTAAAAAGGTATTTGTTATGGTGAAGTCATTGGTTTTGCAAAATTCTATCATGCAGTCTCCAGCATCATTTCGATCACCAAGATCATATTTTCCAACCACTGATCCTTCATGTCTGTTTCCAACCTTTGCATTTCAATTGCCAGTAATTATCAATATATCTTGGTTGCTTACCTGGTCATTTGTTCATTCACCAGCTTCATCACTAACTTCTCTTAAAACTTCATGATAACTTTTCCATGTAGAAAGTTGTCTAATCCCTTTAAAATGTTATTACTTGGGGCAAGCTAAGCTCTACAATGTTCAGTGGACTTCTGTGGACCCAGTTGGGGACTCGGTTGGCAAGCAGTGTGAAGAGACCTGGAGACTCTTGGGCCCAGAGTCAGTGGCGTGGCCACGGAGGACTCGAGAGGAGAGTGGAGCTACCGGCTGACGGGAAGAGAGGACATATGCACAGGAGCGCCCACACTTGCAAATGATACCCACGTGACCTGAACCTGATTACTGGATGATCGGAGCTCAACCAGGAGAGGAAAGAAGATGGGGGAAAAAAAAAAAAAAGAGTGAGCTAATACAGTCTGATGAACTTGACCTATACCTATGGAGTAGCGACTCAAAAGAGGGAACAAATTCCCACAGCAACAAACATTCACACACACCCCCACACACAGAGTGGATGGAGAAGGGCAGCTTGGACATTGGATACTCAAATTGGGAGGGGGAGACTACAAAGGCAAGAAGTGACTGGCTTACAAGCTTTCTGGCGGAAGGCAGAATCTCCAGTAGGTACTATTCAATCTGTCTGGGTGGAGCTGATGAAAGGAAATACAGATGGGTAACTCGTGATACTATAGTGAATAATGCTTATCAGGACAGACTATGAGGGTTGGAAATGCAAAGGTGGAAGTTTTGTAACAAGGAAGGGAGTGATTAACTCTCCAGGATAGGAGCGAAGACCTCTGGGACCATCAATGGAGAAGAGCCAAGAGAGGGATCCTACCCAGAGAAACAGAGATGCCTGAGATGGAGGCAGAGATGATGACGCAAAGTGATGAAGTGACTGGGGTCCTTGGACCCAGAGAGGGAAAGGGACTGTGGGCTGAAAACTGGGGGGAGGAGGGGGCAGGTTACTGGGATATACCCTTTGGGTGGTTGATGATGTATGGAGGGGATTGGAACCATGGCAATGAGATGATATACGATGGAATAAATGTAAAATTAAAGTTCCCCCATGTAAACTACCATATAATTCACAATAAAACATTAAAAAAATGTTATTACTTGGGTACAATTATTTCTATAAACATAACTTGATATTTGACATTGTCCTCTGACTTACTTATTCTTATCTATCTCAAATTTTAAAATGTGTTCCCTTTGTTCTAGTATTTTAAAATTTGGTAAAAAATGAGATCTCATCTGTCATCTGTGTCTTTCATGAGTGGAGAAGTTTTATTTCACATTATCTTCTCATAAAATAATCATTTTTCTTTGGTAATTTGATAAAGGATATGTGGTGGATCAATAAGATATGCACTGGAGTGTGAGTCACAGGTTCAATGGTTTGTGCCCACCAGCTACTCTGTTGGAGAATGACGAGGCTTTCTGTTCCCATAAAGATTTAAAGCTTTGGAATCCCTATATAGCAACACTATGAGTCAGAACCAACTCCACGGCATGTAACAACAACTTCTAAAATTCTATTGAATATAACTTAAATTTTTCTTAGATAATTTAGAAGTCAGTTTAGAATGTTAACAGAGACTCAGAGCCATTTTTGTCACTAGCTGTAGGTATACAATGCAGAAGGCATTATAAATTTATAAATGGGTTGGATTAAATTGATAGAATTGATTGAAGAACTGGACCATGCCACAAAAGCTACCTTCTTAAATAAATCATCCTTTTACTTGTTGTCTTTTTCTGTTTTTAAAAATGAAAGGAAGAATATATACATTAAATCCTGGTTATTTAGATTCATAAGAAATTAAAACTTACTATACATATGTTAATTAAAGCATATTGTTACAAGTTTACATTTAACACACATTTAAACTATAAGGTTGTAAAGCAGGTACTTACATTAGCTGCACCAAGAAGTATTAATGTAGGCCCAAGGCCTATTGTATATATTGATCTAAGCATTATTGACACAAGAAATGGCCGAATCCCCACGGGTTTGGAGAAGAAAAACAGCATAGATGTGCAGATTGCAACTGCTATCCAAAGTAGAACTGAGAACAATGGGGAAAGTGTACCTGTGGAATGCGGAAGAATTTTATTTTTTATTTAGAACAAAACCAGAAAATATTGATATTTGCTGCTGTTTTATAAAATATAGTGAGTCAAGCAATATAGTGAGGACACTGAGACTCAAAACAACCTGCTTTATGCTTTATAATTAAAGGAAATGCCTTTGAACACATTACAAAGTATTGAATTTCTAGAAAATATATATTAATTGCAGACCGCTTAATATTCACTAATGTTCCTTTCATTAAGTCTAAGAGATGTTCATCTTTCCTGTGGGAGTGATTTGCTAAATATTTTTGACAGATGTGTTGCACTTGGGAACCTTAAATTTATAATTAATGACCATTAAACATACAACTATATCATGCAAAATCTGGTATTTTTCCTGACTTCCTCTTGTTCTATTATTATGTTTCTATATAATAGATTCCTTTGAAGAATCCAGAACATCGAATATTTAGCCTTGAATAAAATGGACCTAAGCTTTAACTGTTAAAAAAACCACACATATATTCAGTAAAGCCTGTGAAAGCTGGAAGCTGTGTAAGGCAAAAACGTTACACAGAGAAGGAACACTCAAATATTTCCCACTAAGGACGACCCTGTCAAAGGCGGAAAAGTTGCAAGACTAGGGAAATCAAGGCAGTCCTATCAAGTTCTAGCTCTCAAGAGTTTATTGTATCTGTACACATATATATGCACTAAAGTATGCACTAAAGGTCAACTCAAGTTCTAAAAAAAAAGGGGGGGGGGAAGCTGACTAAACCAATCATCAAAAAAGACAAGTTCCAAATGTCTTAAAATGAACTCCACTTAGGGATTGTCCCAAAAGGTGGTTTAAAAACATTAAAAATTTCGAATTCATTGAAGTTTGCACTGACATGTGGAGCCAAGGAACTCCCTTCTGAAGGTTATGTGGTGTTGAATTTTCAGAGTTAAATTGAGGGGCAACCTGGTCAGATTAGATCAGCTCTGGTCTCCCAAACATTTGTCTCCAGGCTGATGTAGTCAGAAGGTAAACAACAAAGTGGAGTTCTTCCAACCGTTCCTTTGGCAAATATTCCATGGTTGTTCTGATCTCTTTTGGCCACATCTCTTTTTATTATTTATAAATTTCACTTCTGAATACAAAACACCTTGGGGACTTGGTGTGCAGAGTTTTTGTACTGTGAAAGGATTGCCTGGACTCCTTAAGCAAATTCGGTAGAAGCCTTCAGTTTATAGTGACTGAGAATAGATCTCAAAAGAAGGTAGGAAAATCCTGTCAGGTATAACAAAAAATAAGTGAGTGTGGGGGCAGTGAACAGTATTAGCTTAGACATACTAGTTTTGCAAAGTTTCTTCTTCTGTTTATTTTTTTCTTTAAGCAAACAGTGATGAAAGGAGGTTGGGAAGTAAATGCATGGATCTTATAAGATTGCTTTGTGGATGGGTTAGGAAAAGAGTAAATTTCTCTGAAGATTCTCTTCAATCCCTGTTTTCTGGCAATGCTAACAAGATGTGTACCCAACTCATGTTTATTATGATGTTGGCCTGTAAGCACTAAGCTACCCAAACACAGCCTCCACCACTGTCTTGAACTCACAGGTCTCAAAAAGCTATACCTTCAACTTTCCCTCATATTTATTGGAGACCCATCAGAAGAATGTAAGCTCTATAAGGAAGATCTCTGTGCCTATTACAGTACCTGCATGTAATAACAAATAAATATTTCTTAGTTAAATAAATGAACAAAGACATAGTCTGTGAATTTGTTTTGGGCAAGTAAGTCTCCATTTATAAATTTCCAAAGTTGGGGAATTTCACTCTTACGTATACTAAAAGTGCCAGTATCTTCAGACACATAACAACTTTTAGGCAATATTTGACTCTTGAAATAACTCATTTACAATGTCTTAGTGTAGGTTTCTTATTATGGAAGTCCTAGCCTTGGTACCAATAGATGGTTCCATTCTGCATCACCAAAACTTCCTAATAAACTAACCTCATTGTGACTACTTTTCCTCAGACAGTATCTAGCATTTCCTTGATTAAGCAAAAAAAAAAAAAAAAAAAGATAACCAATGCACTTAAAACTGCCATTGATCCCTCTGTAGACTGACCTCATGCAGTACTTAGTAACTTAGTATAATGCCCTATACATTGTTGTTAAGTGCCATCACGTTGATTTTGACTCACAGCGACCCTTTATAGGGTTTCTAAGGAGCAGCTGGCAGGTTTGAACTGCTGACCTTGTGGTTTGCAGTCCAGTGCTTAGCCTACAGAACCATACCAGGAGACCAACTATACATTGTTGATATTAAATAAATAGTTGTGTAATAAATAAACTTAAAAGTTATTTAAAATTATTATTGACATTGATGTTTGTAATTATGTAACAGTAGTTATATTAACATAGGAAGATTTAATTGTTTAAAAAAAAGAAATTGAAATCTCTCTTACAAACTCTAGAGAAGATAATAAAGAATGTAAAAGTGAATTTTACCAATTAATGGTGGAAAAGGGGGACTGTTCTTTGTTCTTAAAAAAAATAATTTTCTATTTTTTATATCTGTATACATTTTCTATCGTGTGCACCTATTATTTTATAATGGAAACCTTTTTTATTTACAATAAAATGCATAAATTATACACATTTTAAAGTCTTAGATCTTAAGAAATTTCTCTTTTATAAAAGAAAATTCACACAAAAATTGGAGATTTCAAGTCAATTCACATTAACAGAAGGTTACTATCTACCTTACACTGAATTGCTTGGTTATTTTGTATTTTGTTGTTGTGTGTCATTGAGTCAGTTCTGACTCATAGCAACCCTGTATAGGGTTTATGAGGAGCAGTTGGTAGGTTTGAACCACAACCTTGCAGCTAGCAGTCCAGTGCATACCCTACAGCATCACACCATGTCTCCATAGTTTTATTTTGTTTTGTTTTGTAGAATATGCTATTTCTTATCTACCCATCTCTCTCCATGTCTTTTCCTCTATTATGACCTCATAGAATTTTTCATTTTCCCTATGTCAGGCCACCTAAGGTAGGCATCCATACACAAATCCATGAACTGTCTTTAGTATTGTATCTACTCATGCGTTGGTTTTTAAATCACATACTATCTGTATATGAGCTCCGGTAGCATACTGGTTACGAGGGCTGCTGACCTCAAGGTCATCAGTTCAAAACTACCAACGGTTCTGTGGGAGAAAGATGAGGCTTTCTGCTCCTACAAAGAATTACAGCCTCAGAAACCCTGTGCAGGGTAGTTATGAATTGGTACCAACTCCACGGTACTTAACAACAACATCTGTATATAAAAGTTCTCTGTGGACCAGAAACATTTGGGAATTCCCCTAGGACTCCTCTCTAAGATTATTGAGTACATCTTCCTGAATCTCTGGTTTTTCATTTATAACATGAAGATTGTCCTGGCCATTGCTTTGCATTTAGTGTTGTTAATCCATCTCATTGATTAATTCTCCATTTCACTGACTATCTACCAAACAAACCATCCTTTTCTAGATATTTGTCTTTCTCGATGGCTTGTCCAAAGCAATCAAGATAACGTCTCAACATCCTCACTTCTAAGGAAAATTTTTATTCATTTCTTTTATGGCAGATTTGCTAATTCTTTTGGAAATCTATGGTATATTTAATATTCTTCATCAACACTGCAGTTCAAATGCATCAATCAATTCTTCATCTGTCTTCCCTTTTCACAATCCAAGTTTCACATGTAAAAGGAAGTTGCAACCATCATGGTTAACTTAGACACACATTAATCACCAAAGTGACATCTTTGCTTCTCAAAATGTTAATGAGGTCATTTGCAGCAGATTTGCTCAATGAAATACATTTTTTGATGCTGTGACAGAAGCTTCCTTGGACTTACTTGTTGTTCCAAGTAGAATGAAATCATTGACAACTCCAATGTCTCCATTTATAAAACAAATTTTATCAGTCCTGAAAGCTTTCACTTTCCTCAGTAAGTGTTTATTTATAGTTATCATCGTCAATACTACATTTATAGCTATTATTAGTCCAGTCAGTCCAATCCAGTCATACATGTAGAAAAGTCAGGATTGGAGACAAAAAGGTTAACTTTCTACTTGGGGACCTGCTACTTCTCTATCTTCTCTGAGCCTCCATCTCTTCATCTGGTAAATGAGGATTTGACAATAGATGATTTCTAGAATTCCTCCCATCTCTAAGACTTTCATTAACTGAGTGAGACTCTACAATTCACTCTCAGGGGTTCTGGGTGCAGATAATACTCATTTATCTTCTCATGCAGAACTTCTCTCCTCACAAGAGTTACATTCATCCATATCTAGAAGGATAGCATCACTAAATGAAAGCAAACACAATGAAGACAAAACTGTTCCCACCACTCTGTGTATCTGCAACTTTCCCACAATGGGTGGTCAAATATTTGCTACATTTTCTACTGTTAGGTAACACACAATTTCACTTCACTGCCAAATATTCTTCATTTATCATTGGCATGTCTTCCAAATATATTCATTATGACTCAGATTACAGCTAGACATTCAGGATTTTGATATCACTCTTAACTATAAAGGATCTGTGGAATAGAAAATGGCCATTGGATTCCCAGTTTGCTTTCTTCTCTCCCTTGCCGTTGTTGTTATTGCTAGGAGCCTTTAAGTCACTACCAACTCATAGCTACCTTATACAAAATAGAACGAAACACTACCTACCCGTAACTGCATCAACCTCACAATCATTGCTACACTTGAGCCCATTATTGCTGACACTGTGCTAATTCATCTCATTGGGGATTTTCCTCTTTTTCACTAACCCTCCACTTTTACAAGCATGATGTCCTTAGCCAGGGACTGATCTTTCCTGATAATATGTCTGAAGTATGAGAGACTAAGTCTGGCGGTCTTGGCTTCTAAGGAGCGTTCTAGCTGTACTTCTTCCAACACAGATGGGTTTGTTCTTTTGGAGGTCCATGGTACTTACAATATTCTCCTCCAACACTGTAACTCAAATGCATCAATTCTTCTACAGCCTTCTTTGTTCACTGTCCACTTGTCCTAAATACATGCTGTTCTCATCAGACCACCCCCTTCACTGAGCTTTCCTCTATATTATGAAGATTTCCCCCATAGCAGCAACAAAACAACTTCTAAGCTCTCTCAGTACTTACTAGGCATTATTCTAAATGCATTATCTAGAGTATGTCATTAAATTCTCACAAAAAACCCCTATGAACAGATGAATTACAAAAGCACTTCATGGTTATTATTTGCTACTTTATCTCATCCTCTTTCAGCAAGCTGTTCATGTTATATTATATTTTGTTAAGTTATCCAAACTTATTTATTGTTTTTCAAGCCTGTAATATACTTTGCTATGCACTTCGCTAAAATTAGAAATATGTCAACTTCCACAGTCCCATCCTTAACTATATATTTCTCCTATTTCACTTAAAATGGGTTACTTTCTCTAGTTTTTTTTTGTTTTGTAAAACCTCATCTATTAATAATTTAATAAAATTAATTTGATAGTCAATATATTTTATTATTCTAGTCATGCTATTGCTATGTAAGTTTAAGCTTGAAATTAAAAAAGTTAAATTTTCTATTTATTAAGCATAGTGGTTAAGAATCAGACTGTGAACCGCAAGGTCAGCAGTTCGAAACTACCAGCTGTTCCGCAGGAGAAAGATTAGGCTTTCTGTTCCCGTAAAGATTTACAGCCTCGGAAACCCTGTACAGGGTCGCTATGAGTCGACTCCACGGCACATAACAACAACAACAACAACATATGATTACAGAATCAAGAAGTTTTCAGGTTGCATGTATGTTAATTATATGAATCTTGAGAAAGAGAAACAGAAATAAAATGTGAATTTCACTATTGAAGGTAATCAAAATTGATAATTTGGCACATAGCCCTCATTTTTCCATATATATCGTATAGTTGAAATAGCATAATAAAATGCTTTGGAGTGTGGCACTGTGCTATATTGTGTTGGACTGCAAAGTCAGTTTTAACTGCAAGGTCGTTAGTACAAGCTCACCAGCCACTCCATGGAAGCCCTATACAGGGTTGCTATGAGTCAGAACTGACTTGACGGCACTTAACAACAACTAAAACAATAACAAAATAATAAGAAATAATAAGACATCTCTTCTTTAATTAAGTGAATTAAATTCTACCTATAACCTCATAATGAGTTAATTCCAATTTTTAAAATTAAAATGTATATTAGAAGTTATTTTAAGATTTTTTAAATATGACAATATATTTATTTAGTAAAACACAGACCCACAAACATGAAATCATTATTCAATTTGCTTATTTGTCAAGGAGAAAATGTATGTTTTTTCAGATGCCCCAAATCAAAGTTACTGAGTCTTCATATGTCTTTTGAACAGTTAGAATTTTCACTGAAATTCATTAAATTCTATATGGAAAAATGATAATATTGTTCATTTGCCAATATATGGCATAACTCTAGCATTATTTCTGTATGATGGAGCTCCAAAAAATTCATAGAAAAATGTAATTAAAAGATAATAGAATTTTTCAATGAAATTATTATAGTCCTTTCATTTGTAAGCTTCTACAAAGATCACATTTCTATTGACCATCCTTCTTCTACCATCTCATTTACTACTCATTGTACTCTACTTATAATGAACACAATAATAAATTTAACAAGAATTAAAATTTTCTTATTTTAAAGCTCTAGGCTGTTAGACAACACAATGAACATTATTTCTAGAACTTTGAAATATTTATCATTTAAAGAAAGACAGGAACTTGCCTTCATCTCCATCATCCCCAAATGGGTAGAAGAGGGCAACTGCTAAATTGATGAACACAGCCAGGTTGAAGGAAATGCTGCCCCAGAGAGAGATGTGTCTTGAGAACCAGAACAGTGCAGGATTATCTAATAGCAAGAAGCAAAACAGGATAAAACAGAAACATAGTTTGGTTTCCACACAAGAGCCCTATAGAAATACAAATACACTTTTGTAAGTTATTATACAAGCATATTTAAGTGAACCTTTATTATGATTTATTTTAGAAAGTTTTTCAAATAATCAGCATCTCAAGAGAATTTTCTATTTGGTTTTGTTTTCTATATTATATAGCTAGGTTTCACCTAAACCATCTTAGAAGAGTAATTTTTCAAATGTGAAAAGTAGCCAGGAGAGGTGATTTCATAAAAATTCTCTGTCATCTATCCCTGGAGAAGATTAGGAAAAAGAAAGCTGAGCCATTGCCTGGGGCTCCTTTTAACGGAATGGTGTACATCCTTGTATAATTTGGTGAAATTGACAAATTGGCCCCATTCCCATATCTCAAAGTGAATAGAAAATGAAAACCTGGTACTACCATAGAAATATGTGTGTCTCCAATAAAAGTCCTGCAACACACTGAGTTACTTGAAACTCCGAACCTGAATAGCATGGTATAATCCTGTTTATTGGGAATAAATGATTTATAATATTACCAAAAGATTAAACCTTAATGATTCCTAAGAACTTTCTGGGGCTGAAACAGAAGAAAATGAAAGACACAGTAATAACAGCCAACAAGTGGGAGAGGCTTTGCTGAGCATTTTCAGAAAAAGGATCCTGTTTTTATCATTAGGAGTGAATTAGTAAGTGTATCTTTTAAATAGTTTAAACTAACAGAAAGCTGTTCTTTCCACCGCTTCTAAAAACTGAACAAATAAGTAAAGTTTGAATAGGAGACAAAATTATTAGCTTACCCTGGACGCTCACATGACTCATTCAGACCTGTTTATCCGTTAACTCTTAAATCCTTAATTCCAATAATAAAATATTGGACTTAATTTAATTCCAGTAGAAATTATAAATGTTCAGATTTGTGTTGTATGAATTCCAACCTGGGTTCTGGTGCTTAATTGCAAATTGCACTTTTCTTCAGTATATTTTTCTTTCCTTCTCTTGGGACAGGACATTCTCACACTGGCCTCCAGACCTCACAGAGCATGATTAGAATTATTCAGGGAATGTTACTCTTTAATATAACAAACATAAATGTGGCCTGAATTTTTAATGGCAGTGTACTTTTTTAAAGGATTATTACATCCACTACCATTGAGTCTATTCTGACTCATAATGACCCTAAAAGATAGAGCAGAACTACCTATGGGTGTGGGTGTAAGGGGTGGGGAGTGGGGAGGGGACAGTTTCCAAGACTGGCAGACAGCATAATCTTTCTCCTGTACATTGACTTGTGGGTTATAAACATTGACCTTGTGCTTAGCAGCCCAGCATTTAACACACTGAGACAACTGATTAAGGGCCATCGAGTCGGTTCCAAATCATAGCGACCCTGCACAGGGCTTTCCAGGAGTGGCTGGTGGGTTTGAACTCCCAACCTTGTGGTTAGCAGTCCAGTGCTAATCCTACAGTTATTTTATTTTAGTCGATTTTTAAAAATACGCTGAAATCTTAAAACATGACAGTCAAGATAACTTTTTGAAGATATTTGTTGGTTCTGCACCATGACACTGAAATTAACTTTGATTAACAATTAGACTTTTCCTTTCATTTTTCTTATAAACCCGAGTTAGCCTTTTCATAATTACCATGGCAATGGCATTTAACTGACTAATGAATGTGTTTTCATCATTCCATAGATAGGAGTCCCCATTTATAAAGGCAGCACATTAAGACAAAATTAGATTTTAATACGCATGTTTATAATAAGAAATCCTTGCTTAAAAATTGATCAAGTGAATTAGATTCCCCCTATAGCCTCACAATAAGTTGCTTTCAATTTTCAAAACTAAAATATATATTGGAATTTATTCTAACATTTATTTTTTTGATAAATGGCAATATATTTATGAAAAAATACAGATCCATAAGCAAGAATTCATTATTTAATTTACTTGCTTAGGAGAAAATGTATGTTTTTCTGATGTCCCAAAACAAAATTACTGAGTTCTCTCATGACTTTTGGGCACCTAGAATTTTCACTGGATTCCATAAGATTGTATATGGTAAAATGTAAAGAGAGAGTTGTTTCTTTCTTTGCTTTTTCAAACATTCTGATAAGAAAACCTAAAATTGCAGGCTACAGTCTTAATGTCAAAGATGGTGTTTCTCATGCTCAGAATCTAAAATTAATAAACCATAATCACTAGAAGTCCTAGAACACTAGAAAGATGAAATAGTGACAAATAGAGATATTCAGAACATACGTTTGTTTGTGTGGAAAACTTTCTAAAAGGCAAAAGATGTCTTATCATTTTTTGCTGTGATTAAAAGTTCGTAGTGCTCTTTGTCTGAGAAAATAAAACCTTTAAATTCAATTAACAGACTTGAGCTTGTACTCAAGAAATAACTATAAGCATACCTTGTTTTATTGAAATTCTCTCTTTTGTGCTTCACAGTTACTGCATTTTCGACAAACTGAAGTTTTGTGGCAACCCTGTGCTAAGAAATTCTAGTGGCACCATGTATCTATCTGTATGTGCTCACTTTGTGTCTCTGTGTTACAATATTTCAAAAGTTTTTGTAATGTTATTGTACACTTAGTGGATCATAGTACAATATAAACATAATTTTATATGCGCTGGGAAACAAGAAACATTGTGCATCTAGGTTTATTATGATACTCATTTTACTATAGTAGTCTGGAACCAAACCCACACTCTCTCTGTTTGTAATTGCAACATTGTTGTTGTTCTGGTTAAGTGCTGTCCAGTCAGTTCCAACCCATAGTGACCCTGGGTAACATTTCTGAGGAACGGTAGGGTTTGAACCACCAACCTTGCGATTCAAACTGACTTTGTAGTCCAGCGCATTATCTGGCAGTGCTACAACAGGATTCCAATTGCAGCATGCTACTATTATAATTTTATTAGGTTAAATTTTAACTGAAAAATTGTAAAATTGCTCTATTTTGACTATAAGTATTCCCAAATTTTACTCTGTTTGGTTTAAGGAGACAAAGATTTGTTAAAAGAAAGAATGACTCAGAAAAACATTGAAAATCCTGTTCAATCAGAGGACAATGAAGGAAGAGAGTGTTGGTTTGCACGTCTCTACATCCAATTCACTGAATGTTAATGCATTCTGGGTCTATTCACGGACTTTAAACCTGCAGCTGTTCATCTTTTCCTTCAACAGTTGAAACATACAGCTGCAAGCCTGCATTTCATAATATTTACAGAACTTTAGAATCATCAATATAAGATGATCTAATTAGTCAGTGGTTTCTGTTTTCATTAAGCCGCAGGTGTCTTGACTCAAGTTGTAGACTGAGCTTACACTCTTGAGCCTACACAGTGATTTCTGTAACACTGAACTGGAAAGAAATTAAAAAACAATTTCAATGAATTGTTGTCAATTGCTGTCATGTGTCCCAAACTACCACTATATCTAGTATTATGCACAAAACTAACTATTTTAGCTCATTGTCAGCTACAGTACTTACTCCTGATTTTCTTCTGCCACTTCATTTCATTGTAGAGATCTTCTGTTTGCTGGAAAAAGTCATTCACCTTACTTCCTTGTTCATCCCTTTCCGTTGTATTGAACACACGGCACTTGGACTCTCGAGTGAGGTATTCACATATATTGGGGACAGGAAAAACTATTTGTTCCATGGTTCTATCATGACGAACAATCTGAAAACATTAATTTGCATTTATTTCAGCCTTTTTGACACAAATTAGCCTCTTAGATTATCCCTTGTTTGCAGCATGATTAGTAATGGTAAGTTATTAATAAAATGATGAAAAATATGTGCCAGCTTGAAATATCTTACTGTACTCTATATTTCCTCTACAATTAATATTATAATCAGTTTCCATCAAGTACAATTCCAAATCACAGCAACCCGACAAGTGTCAGAATACTGTACTCCATAGGTTTTCAATGACTAATTTTTTACAAATGAATTGTCCTGCCTTCTTTCCAAAGTGTCTACAAATGGAATTAAACTTCCAACATTTTGATTAACAGTTAAGAGTGTTAACTGTTTTTACCACCCAGGGACTCCAAACTGATACACCATTATAAATAACAAATACCAAGATCTTTCATATTTTCAGTACAGCATTATTCTTTTACAACCCGTTTTTATTTTCATAAAGTACATCAGAGACTAAGAAGTTCTCAATTAGCAAGTCATTGGGTGGACGACTTCAAATGCACCATTTGTTTATTGTTATTAGGTGTTGTCGAGTCACTTCTGACCATAGTGACCCTGTATAGGATTTCTGAGGAGTAACTAGTGAGCTTGAACCGCTGACCTTGTGGATCAAACCAACTTTGCAGCCCAATGCATTAACTCAGCACCACACCAAACGCACCATAGAATATCTTAAAATGTATCTTGCTCTTAGTCTGTTCTTCCTTAACAAGAGTTATTGGACAACAAATAATATATTTATCATAATGTGCTCTGAGCGCTAAGGAAAAGACTCATTATGTCATTATAATGTTTTTCTATTTTTAAATAAAACATTTTTGTAAGTACAACATCCATTCAAGCATACACCTATATGTAAACACCCATTATTTCAGATCTCAGTTATTTGGTGATTTTGAAACATTAACTTTAGACAAAATATACACTGAGTATGTTCAGGTGGTTACACTTTGAAATAAGAGGTTGTATAGACTAGCTCGCAATAAATTCCATCTACTTCATGTGGTTGTTGTTGTTGCTAGGTGATATCAAATTAATTCTGACCCATAGTGACCCTATGTACAATAGAACGAAACAATGCCCAATCTGTGCCATCCTCACAATTGCTACTATGCTTGAGCACATTACTACTGTCACTGTGCCAATCAGTCCGGTTGGGAGGTCCTCCTTTTTATGCTGATCCTTCACTTTACCAAGCATGATGTCCTTCTCCAGGGACTGGTCCTCCTGATAATACATCCAAAGTATGAGAGACGAAATCTGGTCATCTTGTCTTCTAAGGAACATTCTGGTTGTACTTCTTCCAAAACAGATTTGTTTGCTCTTCTGGCAAACCATGGTACCTTTAAAATTCTTCAACACCGTAACTCAAATGCATCAATTCTTCTATGGTCTTTTTTATTCGTTGTTCAAATTTTACATGCATATGAGGCTATTGAAAATACTATGGCTAGGTTCAGGTGCACTTAAGTCTTCAAACTGACATCTTTGGTCTTCAACACTTTACAGAGGTCTTGTGCAGCAGATGTGCCTAATACAATATGTCATTTGATTTCTTGACTGTTGCTTCCATGAGTGTTGATCCAAGCACAATGAAGTGTTTGACAACTTCAATCTTTTCTCCATTCATCATGTCATTTATTGATCCACTGGTGAGGATTTTTGTTTTCTTTACATTGAGGTGCAACCTATACTGAGAGCTGTGGTCTTTGATCTTCATCAATAACTATTTTAAGTCCTTTTTATGGTCAGCTAGCAAGGTTGTATCATCTGTAAATCACAGGTTGTTAATGATTCTTCCTCTAATCCTGACACCACATTTTTCTTCATATAGTCCAGCTTCTTGGATTATTTGCTCAGCATACATTTTGAATAAGTATGGTGAAAGAATACAACCATGGTGCACTCCTTTCCTGATTTTTAACCATTCAGTGTCTTCTTGTTCTGTTCAAATGACTGACTGTATTCAGGTTCCTCATGAGCACAAGTTAAATGTTCTGGAATACTTATTCTCCACAATGTTGTCCATAGCTTGTTATAATCTACACAGTTCAAAGCCTTTGCATAATCAACAAAGCACAAAATAACAACAAAGCCCAAACACACAAAAATACAAAAATATAAAACATACAAAATAACAAAGCCCAAACATGCAAAAATAAAAAGACTTTGTTGTCTATAATTGTTTTCTTCCTACTTAGAACAAAAGAGAGTGTAAGAACTTGATGCTTGAAATGTTGACATCTTTCTGGTATTCCCTGCTTTCAGCCAGGATCCATTTGACATCAGCAATGATATCCCTCATTCCATGTTCTCATCTGAATCCAGCTTGAACCTCTAACAGTTTCCTGTCAATGCACTGTTGCAGTCATTTTTAAATTATTTGTAGCAAAATTTTACTTGCATGTAATATTAATTATATTGTTCAATGATTTCTGCATTCCATTGGGTCACCTCTCTTTGGAATGGGCACAAATATGGATCTCTTCAATTCAGTCCACTAGTTAGCTGTTTACCAAATTTCTTGGCATAAATGAGTGAGTGCATCCAGTGCTACATCATTTTGTTGAAAGATTTAAATTTGTATTCCATCAATTCCCAGAACCTTGTCCTTTGCCAATGCCTTCAATGTACCTTGGAATTCTTCCTTCAGTACCACTGGTTCTTAATCATATGCTGCCTCTTGAAATGGTAAAACATTAACCATTTTTTGTGGGGGCTACAGTAACTGTATCATTTCCATTCTCTTTTTTTTTAATTTAAGTTTTTATTGTGAATTGAATGATAGTTTACATGGGAGAACATCAGTTTTACACGTATTGTCTTATTGCAATGACTACAATCTCCTTCATGCATCATCATTCAACAGTATTTGCTTCCATTTACCTCTGTTTTTATGTTTATGTGTGTGTGTTTTGGGGGTGGGATGTACATGAAAACACTCAAGAATATATAATCATTTAAACAACCAAAGGACACATTCTGTAAGCCTGCCTCCTGGCCACCAGCACACAGCCTTTCTCTTTCCATGAGTCTAGAGCCCTCAGCAGCTCCCTCTCTCCATGTCCTCATCTCTGCCTCCATCTCTGGTGTCACTGCTTCTCTGGATAGGGTCCCACATATTTCTCATGCTATTCTCCCTTGATGGTCCTGGGTCCTCTGTTCCTGGACTCTAAGATTAACTATTCTCCCCTCTTTTTGTTACAAAACTCCATCCTCTTTTGATGCTTTCTGTATCATTCAATATTTTGTCTAAACGATCATTCAGTATTTCAAGTCGAGGCTTGACTTTTTTCCTCAGGTCTTTCAGCTTGAGAAATGCTGTGCGTCTTCTTTCCTGTTTGGTTTCTAACATTTCATTATAATATTTGACTCTGTCTTCTCAAGCTGTTCTTTGAGATTTTCTGCTCTTTTACCTCCTTGTTTCTTCCATTTACTTTAGCATCTCTATGCTGGAGAGCAAGTTTCAGAGTCTCGTCTGACATCCATTTTGGTCTTTTCTTTCTTATCTTCTTAATGACTTTTTGCTTTCTTGTTGTATGATGCTCTTGATGTAATCCCACAACTCTTCTGGTCTGCAGAAGAGTTGTGGGATTAGTGTCTAATTCATCAAATCCGTTCATGTGATGATCTCTAAATTCATGGGGGATGTTGACAAGGTCATATGTTGCCTCTCATGGATTTGTTTTACTTTTCTTCAGCTTTAGCTTGAACTTGCATACGAGAAATTGATGGTCTGCTCTACAGTATTCCCTGGCCTTATTTTGGCTGATGATATAAAGTTTTTCCACAGATATAATTGATTTGATTTCTGTGTATGCTATCTGGTGAAGTTCATGGGTCTTTTTATTTATTTACTGTAATTTTAGATAGATATTGACCTAATAAAACAGTTAGGAGCTCTAGTAGTGTAATGGTTACAAGTTGGGGCTGATAACCTCAAGGTCAGCAGTTTCAAACTGCCAGCAGTTCTGCAGGAGAAAGATGAGGCTTTCTGTTCCTGTAAAAATTTACAGCCTCAGAAAGCCTATGCAGGGTCACTATAAGCCAGAACCAACTCCACGGCATGCAACCACCACCCACCACCAATAACACAGTTACAAAATACATGAATCAAAACTAATAGACAAATCCACAATTATAGTCAGACATTTCTATTCTCTTCTAAATAACTGCTAGAACAACTAGGCAGAAAGTAGGCAAGGACAGAGGAAAAAGTTTAACAATACTATAACCAGTTTAACTTAACTGACAGTTATAAAACACTTAATCTATTCTGGATTGAACTGTGTCTCCCCAAAATATGAATTATAAATCCTAACCCCGATGTCTGTGACTATAATGTTCATCTGTCTGCTTTTCCTACTGTGGTGGCTTTTGTGTTGCTGTGAAACTGGAAGCTATGCCACTATTATTTTAAATATCAGCAAAGTCACCAAAGGTGGACAGGTTTCAGTGTAGCTTCAAGACAAAGGCAGTCTAGAAAGAATGGAGGGGTTACTGAAGGAAAGAGGAAGGTGTGATAGCTGTAAAAATAGTAGATATGGATAACTTTTCAATACATTTATTTAACAAATGCTTTTCTAATCCTTGGGTGACAAGCTCTGAAAAATTTAGAGTTAAATAAAACAAAACAAAACCCCAAGAGTTTGGGTCTTTAGTAATCATGATGGCTCTTGAAATGCCAGAGTCCAGCTATCATGTTGAGAGAGGAACAAATGTTCTGAAAAGTAAATATTAAAGGAGGGCTAGCTGAAAAAACTGTAATTTTTAAAGCTATTCAAAGTTGGAGCAGTATTCCTTGAAATAATGAGACTTCTACCACAAGAAGAATATAAAACAGAAGTGGGATCATTATAGTATAATGTCTTTTTGGATGGGAGACTAGACCAGGAATACACAAGGTCATTCCTATTGTCTAGGGTCTGTGAGTCTTTCAAAAGCCCTGGTAGTAACTGAAGTTGGTGGTTTGAACCGACCATCAGCTCTATAAGAGAAAGGTGTAGTTGTCTGTTTCCATAAAGATGACAGCCTTGGAAACCCTATAGGGACAGTTCTACTATGTCCTGCAGGCTTGCTATGAGCTGGTATTGAGTCAACAGCAAGAGCATATGGGTGAGTCTGTAAGTTAGAGACAAATTATTATTTTTTAAAAATATTCATTGTTGTGGATATGTTCCAGACACAGTATTCGAGTTTTGGAAAAACAAAGAATACTGAGACCCTGTCTCAAGAAGGGGGAACATGACACACATGAAGCTAAACAATATTCCCAGCGGTAATAATAAGCTAGCAGAATGATCAAACTGCTGTGGAATCATGTTGTTGTTGGTAAGTGCCATCAAGTCGGTTCCGACCCATAGCGACCCTGTACAGGGTTTCCAAGGGTGTAAATCTTTACGGGAGTAGAAAGCCTCATCTTTCTCC